GAATCAAAAGTGACAGAAGCTGAAGGAAAAGGCTTGGAACTGGCTTTCCTTTCTCTCTTTGTTATTACTGTGAATATTGTAAAGAGATATAAGCAGCCTCCCAGGATGGAATCAGCTCACTGGAAGCCAGACATGCTGGATTTCTATCGTGGACTTTGTTTGGGATGGGGAAAAAGAAAAAAAAATTAAAAAGGAAAAAAAAAGGACATCTTTATAAAACCATAATTTTTAAAATGAAATCAGACACAAAGTCATATTTATTTTGCTCTTGTTTTCCACAAAAAGCCTCAACCCCTCTGCATGTTTTTGTGCTGTTGTTTGCAATGGCTACCCTGTGAGAAAGCCTGCCTTCAAAACAAGGGGGGAGTGGGGAACATAGCAGCCCTCATGCATTAGCTTCGTCCATCTCCCATACCAAAATATCTACTGGGAAGCGGGAGAAGACTGGGAAGGGTGAACAAAGCAAAACTGTGGCTGTAATATAGGATTTTAACGTGCCCAAGATGATTATTCTGACACAAATTCTTCATTCTTTTCCCTAAGAGGAAAGATTTATTTAAGGAAAAATCAGCCCCCTCCCAACTACCCTATTTATTCCTCAAAATGGACAGCTAGATAGAAAAACTGTTGAAAAAACCTCTTGGGGAAGGCAGTCCTGCACTAGCGAGGGGCGAGATACAGGCATTTCCCAAACTGTGTCGCAGCTAACTTCTCGCACAGCAAAAAGCATCACGGGGCATAAAAAACATCCAACTCGCAGACTTTGGAGGTTGAAGCGTTTTGTTCTGTTGTGTTGGCAGCTGTCGCTTAAAAATGTAGATCAGTGGGTAAAACTTACGGACAGCAGTGTGGCCACCACGTCCGTGCACAGCCAGCCACGTGCGCTGTCCCAGGCACCCAGGCCCCGGTGGACTTCACAGGGAGGGAGGGCAGAAATGAGGCTGAGATCACTGGAGGGGGGAAAGAGAGAGACAATCAGTTTGAGCTTCACACATCCCAGACACAGCGACAGCGAAGGAGACGAGGGAAAGCATCGTTCTAAGGGGAACGTCCGTTTTCCGTAGCATATTTTATATGAAAAAAGAAAAAGAGAAAAAAATTCAAATCTCCCATTATTAAACCACATTGTACGTAAATGACCGAAAACAAAGCTATTGCCAATGTGAAGTGTATTCTATTGATTGTTATGATCTGATGCCTCTCGTGAACACAAGCTCCAGTATAACATACAATGTACATATTTAGCTATACTTCTGATGAAAATGCCCCAATGAACAGAGGGGTTTTATAATGTAAATCACGTAAGCTTAACTCTGTGACAAGCTTTTTTATTTTTTTAATTTTTAACTTCTCTGTTGTTGGGGTTTTTCTTTATTTTCTTTTTTTTTTTTTTGGATGAAGCCAATTGTATCTTTACTGCGAAAGTCCTGCTTTAAAGAAAAAAAAACCACGACGAAACAAATAAAATGGATGTACGTTAATTTTTTCTAAAGATGTAATTGAAATGTCTGATAATGAATTAAGAACCAAGCAGCCATGAAAATCCTGCTTTCCTCCTTTTTCTGGTCTGTGTAGGCATATAGGTGCACTTTGTAAAGAAGTGGAAATAAATGGGAAACTAAACTGGTCCGGAGAATCGTAAGAATTTTTAATCTACTGAGGTGAAAAATTGGGTCCTTTTTTACTTTTTACCTTTTACAATGGTACAGTTGTACATTATTTGTACCCAACTCAAATTTCTGTAGGATTTGGGCAGGGGGGTGGGGAAGGGATGTGGGTGGAAGACAGGGATTACTGATACAGTTGACAAAGTGCAATATATTGTCAGTCACTGCAGCATAGACAACGGCAGTCAAGATTTAAATTATTTTGTACTTGTATCAGCATAAAAAAAATCTGCAGTATTTTCTGTTTTTATTTTAATTTTTTTATTTTGCTTATTTTTGGATTAGTGAACTAAGTTATTGTTAATTATGTACAACATGTTTATATATTGTCTGTAAAAAGTGTATGCTTTCCTCATATTCCTTCAAGGTGAATATTGCTAAGAATAATAAAATACCTTTTTTGTCAAAGTACCTGTGCCCAGCTTCATGTCATAAAGGCTGCTTTTAATAGGGAGAGAGGAAAAATTATCGGTGTCATTGTTGCCAGTAGAATTATTAGCTTAAACTTTATGCAGAGCGGTCTATTGATATTTCAGAAACCTACCAGGGTAGGACAAAAAGGACTTGGTGAATGATTTAGTATAAAAAGCACAGGTACAAAAGCTCATTCTCCTGCGCTGTTTTGAGGTGACGAGGTCATGCAGTTAAGTGCACGAAAGTTTCTAAACCAGTTAAACCTAGGGCAGCAACCACATCGCAGATGATGAACTGCAGTTTCTCCTTGGGTTTTTCTTGTTGTTGGTGTTTTTTTTAAGCGTTTGGAGAAATACTTTTTATTAAAAACAACCTTTAAAAGCACTGTAAACACCAAAAAGTGGCCAGGTGCCTAATGGGTTTCTAAAGCAGGGCCTGTATAAGACTGGGCAAAGTTCTCTGTAGGTTCTTGAACTGCTCTAACAGGCAACACTGCAACACCGTCAACCTGGAAACCTGTTTCTCACCGTTCGGCTCATCCCTGGCATGAAGGGAGCAAGGGGGGGATGGCCAGCCTGGAGCTGCTCAGTGCTGTCCTGGGAACTGCTGACAAGGGGTGCAGCCATAGGGGCAGGGGTGTGTGCGTGCAGGCTGGCACCTGAGGATGGAGAAGAGTGCTTACCAGGCAGCTCTCATGGCCAAAACTTTGCCGCTGCTTTCATCACACCGTCAAGTCTGACCCACACAAGGAACTCCATGGGGCCTTCCAAAGTGAAGTCTTGCAAAGGCCCCCCCTGCCGCCATACGTGGGGGTGAGTACTGCTGCTATTAAAACCATATTTTCAAGAAAACTGCTAATGAACTTTAGGGTTTCCTCCTTTGACCCCCCGGGAGTTGCGTCTCACTTCTGTGGAAACCAACTCGGGGATAACTCCTTACTCATTAAGAAAAAAAATAACCTGAGTTCCTTTTTCAGCGTATGTGTGCAAATTCCAGCCCTTTCTGTCACTGCTTCTCTTTAACCGTGCAGCCTCCTCCTCAGCCCTGTTTGCCAGCCCTGCGAGCGAGCGACAGGGAGTCGCAGCAGCTCTAGATGTGCTGAAGAAAGCACACGCAACCGGGACGAGGCCTTCCCGCATCATTGCAGACAAGTTAATCATCTCTCTAACTTGTTTAGCGAGGCTTAGTGCAAACACCCATAAAGAAAAAAGAAAAAAAGGCAGTTTATAGCATACCGTGCAAGCCTCATTTAAAAAGAAACATGTTCGTTTTCAGACAGGTTTAAAATGGGGGTTATAACCAAACCCGGCTATTCTCGCTCCCTATTTGAATAGCTGAGACGAGACCGGGAGAACTACCAACATCACTTGAAAATAATGTAGAATAATCGAGCTCTTTGCATTGGTTGCACATTATACACCCGTTCAGACTTTGACGAGGGTTTACCTTGGTGTTGCCTCTCTGCAGGCATTTCGCCGAGTCCGCTCGCAGGATCGGGGCCAGCATCCATCAGCTTGTCAGGAGGGGTGCTGCAGCCCCCCGGCACCTGGAGGAGCGTGCCTCTTCTGAGTGGGGTCTTTAGCGGTTCCTGCAACACAGATAACAAAATAACCCCGTGTTTGTCAGGTGGCACTAATCTGTGAAAGATCAAACCATCTCTCTGCAACGTATCGTGTTTGTCTCCAGACATTTTGCATAGCGGAAATAAAACAAACAGCAGGGAATGGAAACGGAGCAAGTGTGTAAAGTTCAACGTAGAGTGTAAGCACAGAGCAGATATCGAGGCAACAACTTGGGATTTACGGTCCTTTCACCACCACCAAACACTGGGGGACAGGCTTTTGGTGAGGGGGGAACCCTGACATTACTTGCCTTTGCTTCTCGTCATTGGGATTATTGTTTTAAGCCGTGCTTAATTGTCATGTCTCCACGGCCACATCAAAAGCCAAGAAGATTAGGTTACAGGGAGTGTTTGATGTCAAAATACAAAATAAATAAAAGGAAAGCTGAAAAGGTACCGTATTTTCCATGATGTCTCGTGAGGGTTTTGCCTCAAACATCTCTTTTTTCGTCTTAATTTTGCAAAGATTGCACTTTTAGTGACAAGATTTCATTTACTTACTTCTAAATGACTCCACTGATTTCCTGCAACAGGTCGAAAGGGTTAATATCCCCTCTTTGATGGCAAACATGGTATAATTAACGCAAACTTCTTAAGTATCCTGGTGACCTGTAGATGGCCACATGAGAATTTCGTTATTTACTGACTTGCCAAACGTTTATTGCTTGTAGCAGGACGAGTGGGAAGCAGGCATTAATTCTGATGCTGTTATCTGTGATTGCGTGTAAAGTTCATAGCAGAGAGTGCCTGTACGTCAGCTGCAATTAAACATTTCCCAATTTTTTTACATGAATTTCGTGTTGGTGGAGGTGGCTGGACCGGCAGCTTTGCAAACTGAACTCCTGCCCATCGGTAGGGCAGGTGTGACACAGCCAGACACAGGGCAACTTCTCCTTACCTGCAGGCTGCAAAAGAAAACAGTCCGGCGCCAGGGAGCATTTGATCCTTGGCTTCTCCACAGAGAAAGTCAAATCAGTACCAACTGTGGTAGGGCACAGAGGGAGATTCTGTGGTGTGACGTGTCCCCTTGGAAACCAGCAGGAAAAACACCAAAAATGAAGCCAAAAGTGGCTATCAGGTGAGTATGTTCATTTATCACCAACCTGGACTGGATTAGAATGTGTGACCCAGAAGTAAAATGCTTTGTTTAGCCCAACTCCCTGGGCCATCTGGTCCTCGCAAGTAAACATTTCTAAGTGAGATTAAGTGACTGTTCTTTAAGCATGGTGATATGAGTGCAAACCAGGCTGCTCTGGATCTAACAGATCAAACTTCAGC